AGGACGCAACCGCCGACTTAGGCGAGGCGTGGACGCTCTAGCGAGCCGACGCCCTCTCGTTGGTTGCCCTCTCTCTGAGGCCACTCTGGGCGCAGCCATCTTCCCTTCCCAGCAGGCGGGTGGCGCCCGGTGCAGTCACGTGAGGAGCAAGTTTCCCAACCCGTGCAGGCGACTGTCTAGCAGTCTAATAAAGCGGCAGAGCTACAGTAGCGAAGAAAACAAAAGTTCCTGTTTCGCGGAGCTTGACTTTTTTTTGGAACTAGGCAGGCAGTGAACAAGATAAACAAATATATGACGTATATTAGATGGTGTTAGTGCAATGGAGAAAAAAAACGGGGATGGGATGAAGGGTGTGGTTCAATTTAAATGAGATTGGTGGAGGAGATTTCAAGAAGACGTCAAAATTTTCGTCCAGAACACCAAGGAAGCTCATGCCCTGTGGGCCACAGTGCGTTCTTGGAGGCTGGGGCAAGGAGATGAGGAGAGTGGGGTGGGATGCAGATTGGGTAGGGCTACAGGGATAGAGTGGCCATGAAATACATAGACCACTCCGGCTCAATTCTGAGCCAAAGGAACACTATTAACATTTACACTAAGGCAATGGGCATACACTTTGTAGTGGGACTATAGTTGATGAATCATGAGTTAAGTATGTTATCCTAATTATTAAAGCTTTTGTCTTTTACAATGGCAAAAATAGGAAACTATTGGAGAATTATTTTTTATTTTTATTATTATTATTTTTTAGTTTATGTTGAGAGAGAGAATCTCAAGCAGGCTTTGAGCCATCAGAGCAGAGCCCCATGTAGGGCTTGAACTCACAAATCTTAAGATCACGACCTGAGCCCAAACTAGGAGTGGAAGCCTTAACCGACTGAGCCACCCAGGTGTCACTATTGGAGAGTTTTTTGGTTTTTTGGTTTTTTTTTCCCAACGTTTATTTATTTTTGGGACAGAGAGAGACAGAGCATGAACGGGGAAGGGGCAGAGAGAGAGGGAGACACAGAATCGGAAGCAGGCTCCAGGCTCTGAGCTGTCAGCAAAAAACCCGACGCAGGGCTCGAACTCACGGACCGCGAGATCGTGACCTGGCTGAAGTCGGACGCTCAACCGACT